ATAAATAAATAAATAAATAATGACCTATAGGGGCTGATAAGAACAGTTTCGCTTAGCTGCTTCATATTTTTTACGACTAAACTGCGACCACTGCGGCTCAAGTATCAAAATGCAGAAGCGCAGGAAGTGAGCATGCACCACTCCTGTGCGACAGCAGTAGAATTAGGAACATCAAGCGCTACTTGTAAAATTCAGGTCATCAGAGCACTCCTCAGCGCCGGTTACAGTAGGTCAAAATGAGCTGATATCCCATGCCTTGACGCTGCCATGCTAGTTCCGATACTCCGGTACTGTCCGCGATCAGGTATATAAGTTGAAAATATGGCGTCGGGAGGGTGGCGTGGTAAGCGACGAACAACCTTGTACCGGTTTTGCGACAAAAAATTGTAAGGGAGGGCGCTATAGCGCAAATAGGTTCAGTGACGCCTCCTTTTCTCCAGTGACTCCGCCTCCAGACTCCGCCTTCAAGGCCCGCCTTTCAGTGAAAACGAAGCTGCAGGACGAAAAAGCATGAAAATCGTCACTTGTACGGTCGTAGAGTTCTTATCGGGAATCAGCTGTGCGGATGAGGGCGTAATGTTGAAGATGGAATTAATTGGGCACATAAAAATTGGGATCGGAACAGGGCATTGACACGTTTTTTTTCCGATTTTTCTTCTTTTTCGAGTTACTCAGAACTTTTTTACCATATGTAAGCCCCTATTCCACTACTGTGATAGCGAATGATCGCGGGCTTTACCTTCAAACCTGTCTTATGAAGACAGGCTTAAAAAGCGAGCACGGCAGCACCAACGCATGAGATCTCCGCCCATTTCGACCAGCTATCACGGGCGTTGAAGCTGCTCCAGTGTTCTGAGTAAACTCTCATGTCCGAAAAAAAAATAGGAAAATGCTTCAGTGGTGAGTGGGGGTGGAGTTGGTGTATTAGATCCTTTGATATCAAAATCCGCATCGTAAATGAGTGCCGTGCGTGCTAGTTGTGACATTCCTTGATTTATATAGTTGGCGGTTTCGTAGAAACGCCGTTTCTTTCACATCACCAACGCAGAAGTCTTCTTTTGGATCAGGCTTGATTTCGTGCTAGCCGAAAGCTGCGGATTGTTTGGGTGTCCAAAACAAAACGTACACTCACCTCCCAAGACATTCCCTCCCATGTGAGAAGTGAATGGTTCCAGGGGTTATGGCGAACCATTTTTTCGCTCAAAATTACACGGACGGGCCAGGCCGATAGGTAGTGGACGCCGAGTGCCGTCTCACGAATTTGCCTGTGATGCTGTACGACCCGTCACAGGCCTAACCTCAGCTATATGTCAGCGTCCTCTCACAGCCAGTTGTTCTCTTCCGCTGCAGTGTGCGCCGCCGACGTTCAGTATGACAGGAGTGCTTCACCTTTAGAAATAGGCGGTGGACGGCATCTAGACAGTCCAAGTATCATTTATTCCATACAGCCTCATTCCGCCTCGTTCAACCACTCCTACAGTTTATCTAGGGTGCAGTTCTGCACGCAACTTACAGTGGGCCCTGTGAAGGTGGCCACTAGTAGGCTATCTGCGTCCAGGGTACAGCATCGTGATGTGTGAAATGGTAGTGAAGACACAACCCTTCCACCCCCCTCCGCAGAGAGTTACCGACTCCTCAGCTAAGTGAGGGTCTTGGTAGGACTCCTCCCCTTCCCCAACACACCTAACTACCAATTTCCCAGTTTTTCCACTCAAAAAATTTTGCTGTCCGGCGAGGCCGGGGAAGAGAGTGTATTGCACGTGGAAACAAGAAAAACCGCGAAAAGTCAACAACCGGGAAATTTTTTTCCAACGCAGCAAATTTCTCTCGAACGCATATACGACCCCCCTCCCCCAGCGGAAAAGTACGACCCCCGCTATGTGTTTCACATAACGATGCTGTAACCTGTCTGCGTCATGAACACGCGCTGCTTAACGTTTACTCTCCCCTCCGCCCCTTCGGCCCCCTCCTCTTCTCCCCACCGGTCAACTACGGCCCTCCCCCTCCTGTGCTGGAACTTGCTCGCTTTAACAAATGGTGGAGAACGGGTTTGGTTTTTCGCCAAATTCATCACGCTGACACGCCCAACCGTCCGTAGCGAACTACGCTATACATTCTACTGCCAACAGAATAAAATTCATTTCATCTGAATATGAATGCTAATAGCGCACTCCGTCTCAGGTAACAAATAACAACGATGAAAATTTTCAACAAAAACAACAATTCTCAACTAATCGTCCACTGAAATCGCGAAATTTCGCTAGTGTCTGAAATCATTCAACATGTCATGAGCCCGAGGAATTGAGAAAACACAAACAACAGAAATTTCCACTTCGACAAGGCACAAAAAGCAAGGAGAGGGCGTCATTGAGAATTATACGGTGAATGAGAAATCACTAAAAGGAATGTATCACAGTTTTTCAATATCCCTACCGATAAGGATGTTACAGCTCAGAGAGTCTACTATTGGTGCTTGGTGGGACTTGATCGAGTGCTGTTCCGCCGGATTCGGGTAGGACTTTTTGTAGGACTACCACGACTGCTGTTCTTGCGAGCTCGGGAAGGAGGAGCGTGCAACGATAATGTCGTATCTATGCGACTTTGAAGTTCAGCGAACCTCTCGGTCCAGTAGCGACGCTCCTTTAACACTATTTTGGCATTCTCCGGACTGAAAAAAGTCAGATTGTCAGCGGACTTATACGGTCCATACTCCTGAGCTCTACGTACTTTCCTGTTTTAGAATAAACAATGCCTTACCTTTCTAGGAAAACTGGATCAGGTGTGATTCGTAATTTCCAAGATCTATTTCCAGGTACAGCAAACGACGACAAAATGTCTTCAGCGTCCTTCGAATTTATTTGGAAACATCTACAAGAAAAAATACACTTGGCAGTCCATAATTACGTTTCGGAGATTTGGCCATTTTTACCATTTTTCCAATGAATGTTCCCTTTTTCAAAGCCTAAAAGCGGCTTTCCTCTCGCCATTATCTGTGGACAGAGAAATGATACCAGTAAGAGTAAACAGAAGGGGGCACTATTTAACTAACTATTACTACCCCAATTTTCCGAAAACAGGCCGGATCTTGATCGACTTTTTTCTACGGGGCAGATTTGGCTGAAAGTTGGGTTCTAGGGGTAATTCGACCTCCTGAACACGAATATCACATCCACTTGGCCTGAAAGTGCCTGGCGCCCGCGCCACAGGCGCCGGCGCCAAAAACCCTCGCTGAAAAAACTTGTCCGTAGGGGCAGTTTGACCTCCTGAACAGGAATATCACACCTGCTTGGCCTGAAACAGTCTAAGTACCATAGGTGTTCAAATCCGCTGAAAACTTGTATGCAGAGGTTATTTGACATCTTGATTACAAAAATATCACATTCCCCGCTTGGCGCTGGCGCTGCGATCATCTGCGCTCTGCTAAGGCTGAGCCTGACCTGAAGGAAATCACTCTTTCTCCCAGGCTCAGCCTTAGAAAAGCGCTAAATGGCGCTGGCGTCGAAAAATAAATGTCGTATTCGTGATCAGGGCATCAAACAACCCCATTATGCAGTTTTATCGATTCTATAAAAAAAAAGGATGTGGCGCCAAATCAACGCCTAATGGCGCCAAATGGCGTCAGGGCTGAAAACTTATTCGGTATTCGTGATCAGGACATCAAATAACCCTACTATGCAAATTTACACCGAATTTGGTGAGAAAGGTGGCGGCGCCAAATTGGCGCCAGCGTCGAAAACGAGTGCTATGTTCGTAATCAGGACACCGAATGACCTCTGTGAGCGAAGTTTCAGCAAAAAAATTTTTGAATTTTTGGGCTAGCAATAGTCGAATAGTGCTCAGAAATGAAAAGAAGAGAGAGAGAGAGAGAGAGAGAGAGAGAGAGAGAGAGAGAGAGAGAAAGAGAGAAGCACATGGAAGCATTAACAATTTTGCAACGGTTACTTACAAAAAAAGGATTCTCTTCACATATCCACATTGCGCTCAAACATAGCTAACTTAATGTTGCATATATTGGCAACTGCTTGTAAGAATATAAGCATGGGTCGTGTCTCGACCGCTGAGAGTCTGATATTTGAGTTACACCGGTTAGATGGTCTTCATAAGTGATGTGACGAATGTAACCTTGCGAACTTATCGCTATCAGCCTTTATCCGATATTATGACTTTCTATCACCAAGTATCGTCCCCACAATACATCCAATTTCAGCAGTTGCAGTCATGAAGATATTGTTGCCATGATGCGCGCTCATCGATTCGATGGCTCTTTCAGAGAGCGAGGAAATTTAGTGGTGTGATCACGTCGTACGCGCCGCGCGCTATACCTTATAATGTCGCTGCCACTGCGTATCATGCTGGCAGGATACATTCAGATATGGAAATCATCTAGCTGCGCATAGAGGATGCACCAGATGGCGCAGTTGCGCGAAGGGTCGATCGTCGATCCAGAAAATGGGCCACGCACAAGGGAATCATCAAGGAAGAACAAGAAGAATTATCAGCTATCATCGCAGTTATATTGTACTTTCTTCTACCCACCGTTAATGTACCGGACCCATTACCTACATGATTTTTGGCAGCGTCGGTAAAGTTTGAAGCATCCTCATCCCTCTGGGTATGTGCTAAGGAGAAGAAGATACCACATAACCCATAATAAGAGGAAAAACCAAATCAACCAATCAGTCAATCAGAAAGGTAGTCAAATTATTCGCTGGCGAAAAATCAAACAGTCGATTTTGAAACAGAATCGGGATGAATTTACCTTGTGAGTAAAGAACGTGTAACCTTCTGTCCTGCGTCGAGGAGACATAGTGCGAGATCTCGAGCACATCGCCACATATCAGCGCGATGTTCGTCCAACTATAAATATTTCCTAGGCGAATTTTGCAGAAGAAAACGATTTGCATTTGGAATTTCCTACGGACCGGAATTATAGTTAGTTATAAATCAACAACAGTAGAGTGTGAGAACCATCGAGTTTTCAAAAAACACGAAGAATACTAGAGATTGAACAAACGAAGAACAAGAAACATGGTCCCACCTTTCCGGGTGTAACAGCATGGGCAGCAGTGAGATCATGATACAAAAATTCTGATTGGAAAACCCAGACACCTGAAAGTAAGTAACTGTGGCTCAGGGTATCACTAAAAATAAACAAAAAATTCCATTCAAGATACCACAGCGTTCACCTTGAACTAGATGGGCACACTGTTGGAGATATTCGAAAAGCTCGTCGCGGCTGATAGAAGGATCTACTAGTCTGGCTATATCAGCCGTTGCAACGACCCGTGCTAAAATCAGATAGCAAATGGAAATAAAGTAAACTGCGCCTTTTTTGAAAGCGAAAACGCATTACATTAGGCTCCGAATATTCAAAAAGTGAAAGAAAACGCCTACATTTGAAAACCTGGGCTTTCACTTGTTGATCAATAGGCATTTCTCGAATACGTTGATGAGTGACCAGAAGTTCGCTTCTAGTGAGATCACTGTAATCGAATACAGCAAATTTCTTCCACTTTAGTCAGTACTTGAGCAGCTGGACCTACATTTGCTCTCTTTCACCACAAATGATTCCGCGTTCTACGAGATCTCTTGTTGTGACAGTTTCTGCGGATTCAGATTTCTCCGGCGGAAGTGTGGTCATTCGAGAGAACTTTTCAATAAGTGCAGGATCCTAAAACACGACTGTCAGTGACAGATCATGACCGATTCTCGGGCTCCAAAAGAGAAGTGGAAAACCGACAGCATTTGAAAACATTCGATCAAACCTCTTTCAAGTGGACATTCATTGGTATCCATGAATCGCTGGCAATTAACTTCTCTCTATGAAGTGCACTTGCTTCTCTCCTTTTCTTCTGCCGTTCCGTTTCTGGCCTTGTGAATTTCACGCGTATCTGTGTAATCATAGGTAATGTTATAACAGGAATAATGCTTGCGCATTGAAGGCAGTTGGGACGGCGGCGAGGGCGGCCAATTGTTGCCAACAACGTTGGTGGAAGAGCTGCGACAGAGCGTTTGCCCTTACCCCTATCCGCTCCTCCACCAATGCCGGTGGCAGCAGGCGCCCGCCCCCTGCCATCATGCCAACTGCATTTAACCTATGACTATGACCCTGCGTCTTTTCTAGAAAAACGAAATACAATTTTTGGTAACTGAAGGAAAACAACTGACTGCAGTTTTATAGAATGCAGTCACAGATGAATATACGGGTTGGAAAGCACATGCTTTTTACCCAGAACGAAAGGACTTCTCAACGGATCCAGTGACTACTGATGAAAGCTGGATACTCTGTGATAAAGGTGGACCTGTAATGCATGGCTCCTCCACAGCGTGGAGCCAGCAATGTACCCAAAGTCAAAACCTCACCAGCGTTGACATCTTCTTCAATTTTAATGGGATAAGATGACACACCGGCGTAGTTTCTGCACATATCAACCAAATCCGGCAAATGTTCGGGCCAATTCAAGAAAAGCGCTCAGGAGAACTGAAGGTGTACCTACAGCAGCTCGAGGCCGGTCCAGACATCCGTTGCACATCCGGAATAAGCTGGCTGGTCTCCCCAATCTCCTCCAAACCTCATGGTTTCTGACTACCAGTGTGCTAAAGTTTCATTCCAAGGAAGAGAAATTAGAGTTTTGAAATGATATCAGAATGATAGTCAATGATTTTCTCTGTGTCACAGCCTCCTGACCTCAAAATTAGCATAATAATAAACCCAGAAGGCGGAAGAAGTTCACTTGCCCTTTGGAATTTACTGGTAAAGATTTGGTGGTTTGAAACAAAACTGGTGGCTTTTAAAAATAATGTCGAAAATTGGGAAAAAGTTTTTGATTTGTGGTCGAGTTTCCTTGTTAACCTAATAAGAGCGTGTTATAAAGCGTTGTATATAGAATGTTATAATTACCTGTTTAGCACTTGTGCCAGCGGCCTCGGTGTCCGACTCACCAGTCATTTCTCCTAAAAAGCATATTTCGTCCAAAAAAGAACCATATGATCCACAACTTTGACAATTGTGAGCTGAATGAGTCTACAACTGCAGTAGGGCTTCATTCACCGCTCAAAAGTGCACAGGAACGGGTTGGAGGGTACTGATAAAGGATGCACTTTCCATACTCCGCCCGCGCTGCCGCACCAGCCACACGCATGGCCAAACGTGCGAGTTGTCTGAACCCTCGGAGCGCGGGCGGAGTATGGAGACGGCACCGTGTATCACTACTCTCCAGCCCATTCCTGTTCAAGCGGCGAAGGTGGCGCGCTGTCGCAGTGGTGGATGCACACACCTCGCACATGGAAGAAACTATTCTTGAGTGAATAAGGGCTAGTGTAGAAAAGAGCCCTCGATAGTTTAAGCGCTGTGTTCTCTTCTGAATGCTTTTCAGTGATGGCGTAAGCATCCCAGTGTGGTGGTACATTTTTCAACAAAAGAAAAAGTCCAGTGTCAAGCGGCACACGGACAAAAAACCTGCTAGTTTACAATGAACAGCTTTGTAGAACAGGAAGTTTACCTTCATCGTCATGATCTCCTTTGCCAGCATTGTTGAGATGAGCAAGTGAGCGATGCATGTCGAAGGTTCCCGCTACTGGATTTATGTAAAACGTATCTGAAGCAGCTCGTTGTCACATACTTCACACAAAAGTTCATTTACCTCCACATCACTGGAAATGAAAGCATTGCGGAAAATAACAGCCAACAAGAAAGAGATACGAAGTTGCAGCAGCTGTTGGAAGAGTGTACCTTTCACGGCCTCTTTTCCAAAGTTTGGATCGAAATTTCGACCTTACTCAAAGTTTACCATTCT